GTTACCATGGATTGGAAGAATATTGTTAAAATGTTTATACCACCCAAGCAGATTTAATGATATTCCTATCAAAATACCAATAGTACTTTTCACAGAACTAGAACAAATAATCCTAAAATTTGTATGGAAACACAAAGGACCCCAAACATTAGCCAAAGCAATCTTGAGAAAGAACAAAACTGAAGGTATCATAATCCCAGATTTCAAGGTATACCACAAAGATATAGTGATCAAAACTGTATGGTACCACCATAAAACAAGACACATAGATCAATGGAGTAGAATATAAAGCCCAGAAATAAACCTACAATTACATGGTCAATTAATCTATGTCAAAGGAGGCAAGAATATTCAGTGGAGAAAAGACGGTCCCTTCAATAAATGGTGTTTGGGAAACTGGACAGCTACATGTAAAAGAATGAAATTGGACCACTTTCTTACACCATAGGCAAAAATAAACTCAACATGGATCGAAGACCTGAATGTAAGATCTGAAACCATAAAACTTCTAAAAGAAAACATAGGCAGTAAATTTTTGGACATTGGCCTTAGCAACAGTTTTCTGGATATGTCTCCTTGGGGCAGGGAAACAAAAGTAAACAAACAAACAAACAAACAAAAACAAAAACAAACTATTGGACTATACCAAAATAAAAAGCTTTTGCACAACAAAGAAAGCCATCAACAAAATGAAAAGACAACCTATTGAATGGGAAAAGATATTTGTAAATGATATATCTGATAAGGGGTCAATATCCAACATATATAAAGAACTTATACAATTCAACACCAAAACAAAAAAACAAACAAGAAACCAAAAACAACTTGATTAAAAACTGGGCAGAGGACCTGAATGGTCAATACTATTGTAATAACGTTGTATGGTAACAGATGGTGACTACTTATCATAGTGAGTACTGAGTAATGTATAGAATTGTTGATTCACTATGTTGTATACTCGAAATTAAAGTAATATTGTCAACTTGTATGTCAATAAAGCAAACAAGAACCTTAGTCCTTTTACATGAGAGACTGTATTAGGGTTCTTCAGAGAAATAGAATCAATAGGATGTATATATAATACATGTGTGTGTTTATATCTATGAGAGTTATTATAAGGACTTGGCTTACACGGTTATGAAGGCTGAGAAATACAGTACTGGGAGGGCTGATGGTATAGCCGCCATCCAGGTCAGAGGCCAAAGGCAGGAGGAGACCAACGTCCCAGCTTGAGGACAATCAGGTAGAACTTTTATTCTATTCAGGCCTTCAACTGATTGGATGAAGCCCACCCACATTGGGGATAGCAGTCTGCTTCACTCAGTCTAGGGATTCAAATGTTAATCTCATCCAGAAACACCTTCACAACGCATCCAGAAATAATATTTAGCTAAGTATCAGGGGCCTAGTCAAGTTGACACATTAGCCATCAGAGACCCAAGTGTTAATTTTACTCTTTTGGTACATTATTTATGTAACAAATTATAATAAAGGAGCAATCAACTTACTTTTATTTGTATGCATTTAAGTATACACAGATGTATAAATATATACACAGGTAATAAGTTAAAGTTTCTAACTATGGCTTAAAATATAATTAACTTAATTGTATATTAATGAAACATATATATATATATATATCATACTAAAATTATCAGTTGAATGAA